GCAGCGTTAAGTTAGGCAATAATATAAAGTGGTAAATTGACTAAATAATTTATCAATGCGTGCTTAATGATACAAGGTATGCTGAATAAATGCTAGATGTATTGCTAGCTGACTTTCATTTTCATCAAAATCACCCATACTATTTATGTTCTTATATTTATTATTTATACAATTTTAATGAAAACATGCTCTCATCTCCATCAATTTCTTGATTAGTTATGGTGTTAAAAAGGACTTTTAAGGGCTTAACTTCCTCTGACAGCTATTTAGATGTATAAAACTTCCTTTAGAAACTCTATAATATAAATTGTGTGTCAGTTAGTATACTCTCATGTGCTTAAAACAAGAGGTGCAGCTAAAGGAAATAAATATCTCTATCTTTTATTAGGCACCCGAAGTTACTATATGCATATTAGCAAGCTATTTACTACAATTCAGTCTCTGTAGAATAAGCATCAATGATGAAGATATAAATTTATCACCTCCACATAGAACTTTGTAAATAACTATCATATTCAATATTAAAGGGATTAAATTAAGCAAAAATTTTTACTTCCCTTATTCCAATCAAAAACCAACATTCCTCTGAAGAGCAGTGACAAAACTTGTGGCAATTATGCCTACAATAGGCTGTGTTAAGTGTTTATATAAGACTTAAGTATTTCCATAATATTTTTTAATGTTAAAATAATGTAAACAAAGTCATACAATGTAAAAGTTACGTTCTTTTTTTTTAGTTTAATGGCCTATAAATAGAATTTATATTGTTTAAATTACACTGACACAAACTGAAGAACAAGGCTGCTGCGCGTAGAGACAATTTGTTTACAGTAAAAATTTACAAAATAGATAAAAATAAATTTAATGTTTACAGATATGTGTCACTTTAATTCTACTAAAAATATCATTTTAATTTTACCGAAAAACTTTCACTCATTTTATTTAGAACCTGAACTAGTAGCACATGTGGTAGTTTGCACTTTTCGCAAGTTTTCAAACAACCTTAAAAAAAAAAATTAAATAATAATTTGAATAATCTTAAGTGATTCTATATAACAATTCCTGCTTAAAATAATACATACTTCCTGCTTTAAAAAGAAATATATACCCAGTGGGCATTTCGACGTCGAACGAACGTCGAGCGACGTCGGATCTCGACGTCGGATCGACGTTGGGTTTACGTTGGAAATGGAAATGTTATTTGACGTCGGATAAACTGACATCACGCGACGTCGGCATTCCGATGTAAATCCAACGTGTTTTTTGAAAACTAAAAAACGCTGCCTTTGACAGGAATTGAACCTCGGTCTATTAGTTTCTACATCCTATGCGCTTACCACTACACCACAAGGACATATTAAGTGTTGAGTTTATTTAGTAATTTATACTTGTAGCTATTTGGGAATTATTACTTTGATAAGAAATAATTTTGTTTAAATATTATATAAATATTAAAACGAATAGTTATATATTATAAAAAATGTATACTCGAAAATGTTAATAGTTAAAAAACTATGCTAGTGCATCATACAAAGCCTCATGATGTTTTATCAACCTTTATTCAAACTTTTTTCCATTAATAAAAAAACACGCTTAGTTCACATATTTATTGAAGAGCGCAACCGCACACATATTGTTGGGTTTGGATTAAATTTTCATCAGCGATGTCTTACGACGTTGTTCCGACGTCGTTTTAAGGACGTTGGATTGACGTCGGAAGACGTCAAAAGACATCGGAGTACGTTAATATTATGACGTTGCCCGACGTCTTTTTATCGACGTTGGATCGATGTCAGTACTGCGATGTTTTTTGGACGTCTTTTATAAGATGTCGGAACAACGTCAAAATACATCGAAACGACGTCAGGGGATGTTGAGATAAAGACATCGCCCGACGTCATTTTACTGACATCGGAACAACGTCGGAATAGGTCTTTTGACATCGCTGATGAAAATCAAACGTAAATCCGACGTCGGATTGACGTCGGGTGCCCACTGGGTACCAATATACTTGTGACCAATCTGTGCACAAGTTTTTCATACATCAAATTATGCTTGGAAATCTGCTTTTTTTAAAAAACTTTTTTTTTAAAAAACACTCTATCATCTTTTTTTTATTAAAAACTGTAAACTTTTAGCACAAAACAAATCTTGATGCCAAAATTTAAAAATGTAGTTGAAACAACAAACAATTAATGACACAATTCTTTTTGATGCAAGAAAAAAATCTCTAACTGAATCGATGTATACAAAAACGTTCCAAGTCACAAAATTATTTTTTCGGAAAACGAGAAAAAATGTATTAAATCCAAAATTATTACTTTAATAAATTCAAAAAAAAAATCTTTCAGCTCTCTATTCAACGTGTACGGAAAGGTCTGTCTTGGAATGTTTTACTATACAATGGTGGAACTGTCTTCAAAGTACAAATTTTCGTCAAAAAGTCATATATTAAAAAAATGGCTTAGAACGTTTTTGTATACATCGATTCAACTACACTTTAGAAAACACTTCAAAAGCATCAAACTTTAAATGGTACTGACAATAAATACTTTAATAACAATTTTTCCAACTTTATTAAAAAAAGTATTTATTAGGCAAAAATTGCTACTTAAAGCAACTTTTTTCGTACTTTTTATTTTGCTCTTATAATTAATTTCTTCTTTAAAGACTAGCTTTACTATCTGTGCAGTTGGATTGTCTTTTCCAACGTAAAAAATTATTTTTTACGCTGGAAAAAATAATTTTTAAACGTAAAACAAAATGTTTTATTAAACGAGAAAGTGAAATTATACCTCTTCACATATAGGCAATAAACTGTGAATGCTACACATAGTAAAAGTTTTCCCAAAAGTTTTTTTAAAATTTTTCACAAAGTACATAAGTATTTTTTTACATAAGGGAAAAAGATTTAATGCAGGTTTACTATCTGAATACACCAGAATAAATAAAAAAAACTGAAAACAACAAAAACGTCTTTGCAGAGAGGTTTAGAAACAATTCCATTTAAAGAAACTGGTCTAGTATAAAAAAAAAATTGTCTGAATTCAGTTGCTTTCCATCGATCAGCTTTGAGCATCAATGATAGTTTTCTAGCAGTAATATTAGGAATGTAATTTTTAAATTTGATTAGTCTCTGAAAAGATGCTAATCGAATTACTTTTTTTTCTTTTCTTTTGACATGTTAATATTCATCTTCTATATTTAATATTTGTTTTCTGTAAACAGACTCAGAAAGAGCTGGAGTTAATAACTTTATAAACTAGTTATACGGATTTCAATCTTTTCGTTCTACAGCTAATTTTCTAACAAAAATAAATATAGATTTTATTGTGCATTAGATAGAGGTGGAAAAGTTAAGACTATTGCTTTTGACATTTCTGAAGCTTTTGATAAAGTTTGGCATGCTGGTCTTCTCCATATGCTTTCTTCTAACGGTGATTTATATTTTTATATTATATTTTCCTATATTTTTAAGGATTCCTCAAGGTTCAAACTATGGCTTTATTTTTTTTTTTTTAATTCACATTAACGATTTACCAGATATTCTTACATCTTAGGTTGCATTGTTCACTGATGAAACTATCATTTATTTTTGTCTTTATGAAAAACTAACATTCTCTAATTGCATGGAGGAGGTACTTGAGCTTGTGAAAGATCTTTCTTTTGTTGCAGCATAGGGCTCAAAGTTGTTGTTGAACATTTATACAGATAAAACCCAGTTTTTTAGCCAATCATTATCACAATAATTAAGATCTTCTATTATTTACGAACGGTTATGTACTCAATAAGTTATCTATTCTTCATTTTCAAGGATTAAGTCTTACTTCCAATCTATCTTGGTTACAATATATTAAGTCCGTTGCAAAATTAGCATCTGCTAAAGTTGTATCTTTTTAATATGCTTGGCACTTTCTTACACTGGACTCAAACAACATTATTCTTTATATGGAATACTGTTGCCATATCTGGGGTAAATCTTCCAATGATGCCCTTTCTTTTTTAGAAAAGGTGCAAAAATGCATTGTAAACATAGTTGGACCTGGTCTTGGAGCCAACCTTAAACCATTATCACTTCGTCGTATTGTTGCTTCTCATTCTCTTTTTTACAAATACTTTAATCACCACTGCTCTAAAGAGCTAGCATCTCTTGTTTTATAGGCTAAACTTTATTCTTGTGTTACTCGTCATTTAATTTAGTTTCATCTTTTTACTGTGACTGTTCGTAAGTGTTTCAAAAACTCGTATTCATATAGTTTTTTTCTCGAACCTCATTTCTTTGGGATGTGCTTCCTTCATCTTGTTTTCCTGATTCATATAGCTTGTAATTTTTGAAACCGCAAGTTAATCTTTATCTTGCTCTTTAAACTTAATATTTTCTCCAAAAAAAAAACTATTTTAAGAATTCTTAAGACGTTTTAACCTTATTGAAAACTCGCTGAGATTGGCCCCGTAAAAATACGGGTCTTTGTATATCTATTCCAAACCAAACTTTTCTTTTCTTTTTCCTTATATATTCTGGCTTTCCAGATCCGTAAAATACAGGTCTTTACCAATTTACATATCTATTTCTAGCCTAATATTTCTATATCTATTACTTATTTACTTCAATATTTTTAAGTAATATATTTTAATAAATGTTGATGAGAGTAACTGAATTTTAAACATTAAAATGTTATAACCAGGTAGATTGCCTCACTCTTTTAAATATTTTTGTTTTTTACCTAGATTATAAGGTGGCTTAGTTGCCACTAGTAGTAGGAAAAGGAGAGTTCTAGCTTATTTTCATTTTCAACCTTATTTTCAACCATAAATTAATATTAATATAGGGTTCAATATTAACCATATTGTGTATAAATTATTTCAACAAGAAATAATTTTTTATTTTAAAAAATTGATTTTTTAAAATAAGTGTTAATTTTTATTTCTTGTTATGAAATATTACGAAAAATTCTTGCATGACGTCACAGGTCACGTGATTTTTCTTCTACCTTTATATCCTAATTCATGTAGTATTTAATAACTTCAAGGTTATTTTTTCTAGCAGCATTATATCCTATAGAATGTAAATATTTTACTACTTCAAGATGACCATTTTTTACAGCATAATTAATTGCATCTTTTGTACCTTTATATCCTATAGAATGTAAATATTTTACTACTTCAAGATGACCTTCTTCTGCAGCATCATTAATCGCCCATTCTGTTCCTCTATATCCTAATTCATGCAAGTATTTAATAATTTCAAGATGACCATTTAATGCAGCATTATCTATTGCATCTTCTGTACCTTTATATCCTATAGAATGTAAATATTTTACTACTTCAAGATGACCTTTTTGTGCAGCAAAATCAATAGTCCAATTGTAACATTTATACCCTAATTCATGCAAGTATTTAACTAATTCAAGATGACCTTCTTCTGCAGCAGAATTAATTGCATCTTTTGTACCTTTATATCCTATAGAATGTAAATATTTTACTACTTCAAGATGACCTTTTTGTGCAGCAAAATCAATTGCATCTGAAGATCTTTGACAATTTAATGAATATAAATATTTTAAAATTTCAAAGTGGCTATTTTCTGCAGCATTATCAATTGCCAATTCTTTACCTTTATACCCTAATTTATGTAAATGTTTTAATAATTCAATGTCACCTTTTCTTACAACATTATCTATTACATCTGTTGAACATCTATACCCTAATTTATGTAAATGTTTTAATAATTTAAGGTCACCTTTTCTTACAACATTATCTATTACATCTGTTGAACATCTATACCCTATTTCATGTAAATATTTTACTACTTCAAGATAGTCTTTTTCTACAGCTTTATTTATTGTATCTGTTGAACATTCATACCCTAATTCATGTAAATATTTCACAACTTCAAGGCAATCATATGATAAAACACTATCTATTACATCTGTTGAACATCTATACCCTAATTCATGTAAATATTTTACTAATTCAAGTTTATTTTTTCTAGCAGCATTATCTATTGCATTTTCTGTACATTTATATCCTAGTGAATGTAAATATTTTACTACTTCAAGATAACCATTATTTGCAGCTTTATCCATTGCTTTTTCTGTACCTTTATATCCTAGTGAATGTAAATATTTTACAATTTCAAGTCTATTATATTCTACTGCAAAATCTATTGCATCTTCCATATCTTCACAACCTAATGAAAGTAAATATTCGAGTTTTTTAAGGTTATTAGATGATATAGCACTATTAACTGCAACTTTTGGTACTCTATATCCAAACGATATTAAACAATTAATCATATCTATATCTCTATTTTCAATAGCATTATTAAATGCATATCCTGATACTCTATATCCTAACGAAAGTAAATATTTCACTACTTTAAGATATTTACTTTGAACAGCAAAATCAATTGCATCTTCTTTACCTTTATACCCTAATTTATGTAAATGTTTTAATAATTTAAGGTCACCTTTTCTTACAACATTATCTATTACATCTGTTGAACATTCATATCCTATTTCAAGTAAATATTTTACTACTTCAAAGTGTCCATTTCTAGCAGCATTATTAATTGCACATTTTTTAAATTCATATCCTAATTCATGTAAATATTTTAATATTTCAAGGTGACCATTTTTAGCAGCTTTATCTATTGCATCTTTTATACTTTTATAACCTAATATATTAAGATTTCCTTTTTCGCCTAATTGAGTTAAAATATCAACTAAATCATTTCTACCTATACTTGCAGTAAAGTCAATTTTATTCAAATTATCATCATAACCTTCTTTTTTTAATATTATAGTAGCATAATATACCTGAGTTGAAGGCTCAATTATGTTTTTTATTAAAGAATTATTATTCTCATTATTATTTTCCATTCTTTTTATATATAAAAGAAAAATTATTTAAATCATTTTCAAATTTTTTTTTTTTTTTTTTAATGCGCATGCGCTAGGATTTACTTAAGCATAGTAGAATTGTCTTAACAATATTATATAGGATCTCTTATAGCATATAATTCTAGTTCTGTTGCTACAAATGGAAGAGTACTATTTTGTATATAATTATCAAATATAGGCATAGAAGGTTGTCCATTATATACATAGTTCATATTTTGACATACAGGTGCCCAATAACCACCACTTGTATCTAGTGTAAGTACTGCTCCAGAATTCATCAAGCTTTTTGTAGTTGTCAAATTTAAACCGCAAAATCCTTGTCCTAATTCTGTACATCCAAATGGTGTATCTGTTGATATGAGTTGTGCAACATTTTGGTAAGCCATAGACATCATTGGAAGGAATGCTTGTTTAAATATAATACTATTCCATACACCATTAATTTTATATTTAAGTCTATATTTATAATAGCCATCTTTGTTTTTATACTGCCAATTAGTGAGAAGTAGATGGAGTAGAATTAAATACTCTATAGGCGCTATAATAATTGTTAAGAAATAAATATCCAGCAACTTGTCTAACTAATAATACTTCTCCAGAATTATATGGTGTTCCATAGCCACCACCATATATATTATTCATTGCAATTGGTATTGCTTCAAAAAATTTGTTTGCTAAAAATATTTGTTGTCTTGAATCATAATGTACTCCATCGAAATTTGCACTCCTAAGACTGGGAGGCATACCATCTAGAGATATACTAGCTGTATATGGAGAAAAATTTATAATATTTTTTAATGCATCTTGAACTTGAGTTGCTGTAGTTGAGTTTGCTTGAACCCATGAAGATAGCATTTGAAATGTAATGAATAGCATTTTATTTGCTTTTATTTGTGAGATTGGCAATGTATCAAATTGGCTTGATGAGTATGCAATATAATCTCTAATGGTTTGTATAAAATTCATTAGAATATATGCATAGTTATCACACCAACCGGTTTTAGAATCGTCTTCTCCTTGACTCCAAGTCATACAGCAAAACTCTGCGTTATAATGTGATGAAATGTAATTGATTTTACGAGTTAAATTTTTAAAACCAGTTCCATACGGCATAAAATAATCATTACTGAAACTTTTAGCAGTTAGCATGCATGGAAGTATCATTAAACATTCATCAGGATTTATCATATTTAATGTATTCGCACCTTCAGCATCTTGCATTATAAGCCCAGCAAGTATTGAACCATATCCTGCCCAACAATTATTATCTGTTTCATTTACATCTAGTCTCAATGAACAAGGAAGTAACACATCATTTTGTCCATTACCCATCGCAAATTGGACTATTCGTCTGTTCATATAATTTACATTTGTTATTGATTGAGATAAACCCCATTCTCTACCAGCATATGTATTTGATTGACCAGCTATAATCAAAACTTTATATTTATGTTGATAAGGAATTAAGCGATCTACATAATTCTTTGTAGCTGTATCTTGTGCATTAGTAGGATCAGCTACATTAATCAATTTATGTGAATTCAAATTTATATTAGCACTCATACTATTAGTTCCATCTATTTTTAGATAGGAACTGCTAGAAGTTTGATTATTATCTACATAATTCTTTGTAGCTGCATCTTGTGCATTAGTAGGATTAGCTACGTTGATCAATTTATGTGAATTCAAATTTATATTAGCACTCATACTATTAGTTCCATCTAATTTTAGACATGCACTACTAGAAGTTTGATTGTTATCTACATAATTTTTTGTAGCTGCATCTTGTGCATCTGTAGGATCAGCTACATTGATTAATTTATGTGAATTTAAATCAACATCAGTAGTGGCTGTATTGCCAACATTAATGTTGATATTTAATCCATCTGTTGTGTAACCATATAATGAATTACTACCAGCTATATTCATACTCATTTTTTATATACTATACATATTTTTTTTAAATCACTCTGTGATTATTGCTTCGCTAATTCAATATAATGAATTTTCAATACTTTGAAAATCAACACCTTCATCAAGCTTTTTTAATACATAAAGGCACAAGTGTCCGCAAAAAGAAGTGTCTCCAAACTGAATTCTTTTACTATTATAATAAACAGGACTGTGTAGATATTGAACAAGTTCAACTGGAGGTGGTAGTGCATAAGAGTCAAAACTTATTTTTTCTTCTCCATCTTTATACCAACAAATCCAATGAAATCCATTCGTACTTGAATCTCCAGTATTTAATATTCCACATTCTTTGTTTTGTGTATTTTTAGGTAATTCATCTCTTACAAATACACCTCTAAAATTTTTAATTTTTAATTTTTTTGCTGCTTTTATTAACTGAAAGTTTGTTAAGGGTTCATTTGGCAATATAATTCCTTCAACATTGATATGTTTGTCCATTTTTATTAATAGTTTTAGATTTTTTTAGATCTTTTTAAGATATAAAAAATAACTTACCTGTGTGTTTGCCTGCCTGCTTGCCTGTTTATTTCCAATCAATCTGAAATGAAAAGTTGGGTTTGGGTTCCGAAGGAACCAATGTTTTACTCTCTTTTAATTTATAATGTCCATATGCTAATGTGTGAATACCATCTTCTTGAATTACTCTTTTATCATCTTCTGCACTCAATGCTATTTTGTTAATTTCTTCTGTATAAACATCATGTAAATGAGATCTTATGACATTCATTTTTCTCATCTGATTTCTCCTGCTAAGCAGGCAGTCTTTATAATCTTCATGTGTAATATAATTTTTTACTACATTTCTCTTTACTCCTTTACATCTCTTTTTATCTTCTTCATCTATTTTGTAAGAATACAACTTTGATCTGAGTCCTATAAATTCCGTAATTTGTTTTCCTGCTGACTCATCTTTAAACATTCCTATTACTTTCTTATTTACATCTACTTTAAATCCATTTTGAACAGCTGGATGATCTTTATTAAATTCACTTGTATCAAATTTACTTTCAATATCATTAGAAATATCTTTATAAAAATCTTCTGTTTTTATTTCATAGATTAATGAATCTGTATCTGTATATAATAGTTTAGCTTTATCTTTATATTTATTTTTTATGTAATCATAATGAAATTCGTACATTAGTGTTTTGCTCAAATCTAAAATACACATACCCAAGTAAATGGGTTTGTTATATACAAGTTTTGTTCTTTTCATATGTATTGCAATTAAATTTTCATCAAATATCGTTCTACTTTCATAATTTGGTTTTGATGATAATTTAATAGCTTCTTCTCTTTTAGAAACTAATCTTACATCAACTCTGTTTTCAATGTTCTCCATTGTCTTTCCAAATACTGAATTGTTCATAAGTTTGAAAAAGTCCTTTTCAAAGTCATTTGTTGCTTTTGTTCTTAGATTTGTATTGAGTTCAATGTATTTACTCAACCATGCACTTTCTTCAAACTTTATTCCTCTGTGAATTTTTGTTATTTTCATTCCTAATCTTTCATACAGTTTTAAGTTTTCATAGTGAATGATATAATTTTTCTTATGATTTAAATTAGGTATTAATTTATCAACTTTGTCTATTTTTAATCTTTCAGGGGCTAGAGGATAATCATTATGAACATCATGTAAATGTTCAGGATATTCTAAATCTACATCTAATATGCAAGAAGTAGATTTCCAATTTTTTAATTCTTCTTCATTCATCCATTGAAATCCATGTGTAGGAAGTGGTTTACTCATTGCCCATCCATATAAATTATTTGCATCTAGATACTGTATGTAAGTAGATTCTTTACTTTCATCATAATTTTCAATATATTTATTGTTAGCAGTTCCTAACCTGTTAGAAACCATACTAATTCCACCTCTTATTCCTTCTTTTATCATTAAAATCATATCATAATCACTTAATAATTCTAATTTTACTTTTGTTATTTTTAATGCTGCATCCCAAGCTAATCCTGGTGCTGTATAGTACCAAGCAGGATCTAATTTATAATTGTTAAAACAGATATCTCTAAAATTTTCAAAGACATCAGCTAGTAGTAATACATCAGATTCGTTATATAAATTATGGTAATCTCTGAATGTTTTACAATTAAACTCTTTCCATACATTTTGAGCATGTAAATAATCTTCATCACTTATTCCTTCATCATTTAATCTTGAATAAAATGATTCTTTTGGTGGTAATTGTGTTTCATTTAATTTATCAATAGAGTCAACCCATTCATAAGGATAAACACCTTTTCTTAACAATAAATTGAGTTCATTTCCAGAATAGTATCTACTAATATTTTTACATTGATCTTTTGACAAATTTTTAGTTAAACTATCTAAACTAGCAGCCATAAATTTAAAACTATCGAGAAAACGGAGCTCTCTCTTAATTTCAACTTTTTTTCCTTTTTTATTCGTAAACTCATCAAGTTTAATTTCTTTAGAAAAGCTGAAATACTTTTCTTCATTGTTAGGAATGCAATTTAATTTTCCTCCTTCTGACAATTTCTTTATGAACAAGTGAGAGTCATAACCAGATAAATTGTGAAATAGTACTGGAATAAATTTTGGAATTTTAAATTGTAAATTACAATCACTATGCGCAGCACCTCTATATTTTCCAGTAATATGACAATGATCTTTTACTTTATCTTCATTAAGATCTTTTTCACAAATATGACAAATTTTTGCATTATCAAAATTATTTTTGTCTTTCATAGTAAATATCATCTTTTTTGGAAATTTTAAATAATCGTTGTAAATCTTTTTTACATCTTCTTCTAGCATATTAACAAATTTTTGTGCTACATCTTCATCTTCATTACTTGCAGTGAGTGTAACTAGTTTACTTTGATATACACTTTCATCAAAGCATTTAATATAGTAACAAAATGAACTAGGTGTATGCTTTTGGTACTGCTTTGTATAAGATTCATTTGGATTAGGTGTACAAGTGTTGATTGGTTTTATAAAACTTTCAAAGTCTGCATAGACTACAAATGGCACTCTCATAGATTTTTTAAAATGATTAAGTTTAATCATTGTATTTGGTTTTGGAAGTTCAATTCGTACTGAATCATGAGTATCACAATACAATTGATGCTTTAACAAAGATTCTTCAGTACTAAATGATTGTAAGCAATTTCTACAAAAGTGTTTTTTACCATTATGTTTTGATATTTGTGATGAAAGTAGTCTACTTATACTTTTTATTAAACAATAATGATTGGTTTCATCATTTGAAATGAGTAATAAATCTATTTCATGTTGCCTATTTTTGTTTTCAGATATTCTTAAAGGATAAACAGAATTTTCATAACCAAATACATTAACACTTATATCTTGATTATTTTTCTCAAATTGAGTAATCTGTTGTAGTGAAACTGGGAATTTTATTTTTTC